AATTCATTCTGTAAGGCTACACTACTTCCAAAGTGATCTAATTCTTTACCTCAGGCTGCAGATGGAGCTTAATACGGTAGACTACATACTTACCTGTAGTCCTTTGCTTCAAGCTTGCTAAAGTTTTTGTCAGCCAAGTCACTAACACTAGAAGCTTACAAGTTTACCAGAATTTTTTCAGAGTAAGTTTCAGACATTTTTTTTTTTGTTGTTGTTGTTGTTACTGGGGATTGAACTCGGATCCTTGTGCTTGAGAGGCAGGCGGCAGAACCACTGGAAAATCCCCGGGCCCTAAGCTTCAAACTCTTTTTTTTTTTTTTCTGGTGCCAGGGATTGAACTCGGGTCCTTGCACTTGCAAGGGAGGCCACCGAACCGCTGAGCTAAATCCCCGACCCCAGCTTCAAACTCTTTATCTTAGGCACTCAGCAGTTTGAGACAGAAAAAGCTCAAGTTTGGAGGAAAGGTAAAAAGGGAAGAGAAAAAAAATAAAGAGAAAAGAAAAAATGGAAACAAAGTCTTCATAAATAGGGATGGGTGGAGCGGGGAAGGGAGGCTAGGGGAATGGGGAAAAAATAAGAACCAAGATATGTCATATAAAGGTACAAGTATATCTAAAATGTATTAATTAAAATATAATTTTAAAAAAAGCTCAAATTTGAGGCCAGCATGGGCTACGGAGTGAGTTCAAGACCAGCCCTTACTATATAGCAAAACCTTCCCTAAAAAATCCAAACACAAGCCGGGCGTGGTGGTGCACACCTGTAATCCCAGCACTTGGGAGGCTGAGGCAGGAGGATTGCTGTGAGTTTGAGACCAGCCTGGGCTACATAGTGAGACTCTGTCATAAAAAGAAGAAAAAAAAAAATCCAAACACAAAACAAAGACAAACTCTAGCTTACAATCTTTCATGACTTAGACCTTGTTCATTAAACTTGTCTAATTCTCAAAAAAAATTTATTGTAGCCACACTACTTGAAGGGTTCTAAAAAAAATCCACACAAAACAAAGACAAACTCTAGCTTACAATCTTTCATGACTTAGACCTTGTTCATTAAACTTGTCTAATTCTCAAAAAAAATTTATTGTAGCCACACTACTTGAAGGGTTCTATTAAATCATTCCGTATACACCATTTGCCTTCAAAAATAGAGCTCTTTTAGTCTAAAATGGACTTTGCCTGTTCTTTGATTGCACAACTTCTAAAAATTCAGCTCAAACATCACACAGTAAGCTTTCTCTTATACTCCCCTACTGCTGCTGTTGCAAGGATTATGTTATTCGACTGAATTTGGGAAACACATCTTGAATGTAAAAAGCCAAATGAGTTTGAGATTGGATGTAAGGAAAAAGGAGGAATGAAGAACAAGTCCTAGATTTTGGCCTGAACAAATGGGTGCATGGTTGCACCTTTAAATGAAATGGGAGGCCGAGAGTAGTGACCCATGCCTATAATAGTGAGTCCAGCCTGGATTCCATGAGTTCAAGGCCAGCCTGAACTATATAGTGACACCCTGTCTCCAAAAAAAAAGAAAAAAGAAAAAAAAGAAAAGAAAAGAAAGAAACAAAGAAACAGGAAAGCCTGACATACTTACTTGATATTACAATAGAAAGGTCAAGTGGGAAGCTTTAAATTTAGAGAGGAAATTGACAGGCAATACATATTAAGGTACCAGGATACCGAGAAAATATCTAAAGTCTCAGGACTGGATCAGTAAAATCTGATGCTGTGATTTTGTTTGTTTGTTTTTGGTACCAGGGATTGAACTCGAGACTTTGTGCTTGAGAAACGGGCGGCAGAACCACTGAGCTAAATCCCCAGCCTGATGCTGTGATATTTTAGACTGAGAAGCAAAGGAGAAAGGAAGAAAAGCGAAGAATGTGGTATTAGGAAGTTAAAGAAACAAAAGTGAGCTGGGTTTGCATGGTGATGCATACCTGTAATCCCAGCACTTTGGAAGGATGAGGCAGGAGAATCACAAGTTAAAGCCTCACCTGGGCAAGTCAGGGAGTTAGTGAACCTGTCTCAAAGTAAAAAATAAAAAAGGGCTTAGAATGTAGCTCAGTGAGATGGCCCTAGGTTCAATCCTCAACACTGGGGGGAAAACTTTTAAAAAGAAGGAAGGGCAGAGTATAGATCAAAACCAGACTGGAGGGAGTATGCCAAGGATGTGAGAAGACTCTGAGACAATTTTGAAAAGTTTAATTGTGAATGGATCAGAGAAAACGGCACAGCTGCCAGGAAGGGTAAGGAATGGGATGGGGGTGGATAATGAGAAAAAGAAGCAATTCTTTGTGTTATACTTTTACACTCAACTAAAATTAGTTTTCTCAAATTATGACTTAGAAGCAGAATTTTCAATTTTCTACTTCTCACAGGTTCTCATTGTGTGTTTGTGGGATATCAGAACTTAACTCTTAAGTTCTGGTCCAAAAAAATGCAGGAGAGTAGAAACAGCAGAATTTGGAATCTGACCCAAGCTTAAATATCCAATTTTTCTCTAACAAGCTATGTGGCCTTAAGTAATTTACTCTCTCAGAACCTAAGTTTCATTAGGAGGACAAAATATATAGTTATTTTGTCACAATGCTGGGTTCGATTAAGTGGAAACTGTATGTAAATCATAGCATAGAGTGACTTAGAGGGTGCTCAAATAATGTTCAATACTTTTTTCAATGGCAGGCAAATATAATCATGCACATGCCACACATAAACACATGTAAGTACACAGTGGAGAAATTGTAAATTAATTGAGTTTCAAATGTTTCATAATATCTCTTGACAACTAGTATATCAAAACAGAATAAGCAAAGCAAAAAATATTCAGACCTGGCAGACAGCCTGGAAAAGTCTGTCTAGAAAAACCACCAGTTTTATATTTCATCAGAGTATCATTTAACTGAGGTGTTTATAAATGTGATGGAAAGTACAGCAGATACAAATACAGGAAAAGCAGAGATAGATGGGGAATCGTCTAGGACAATAAAATGAGCCAAGAATAGAATGTAAATATTTTTAATTCAGGTCTAGCAAATTGATTATTTAAATAATCACAAAAGAAAATATTAGTCTAATTTACTGCTAACTGGGCTTTTTAATTCTACTCTCCACCGTACCAGTACCGCTCTGCGCAACAGCCACTGACTCATAAAGATGTAAATCAGAGCTGGGAGGGCACCCCAGTTGTGCACACAGCACTTGCGCAGCATCCATCCCAGTCCCTGGATTCCCCCAGCAACACACACACACACACACACACACACACACACACACACACACAGAGTAAATCAGATTACTAAACCTGCCATCTCTCCAAGTTTCTACTGTATTAGAATGAATGCTAGCTTTATTTATAATACCCCCAGACCAGAAATAAAATGTCTGTGAAGCTGACTCATCACTTAAGTTTCAGCTCTAATGTCAACCTCTCAGAAACTTTCTAAAGTCAACATTTTTTTTTCCCTTCTCCTTTCCTTTTTTTGGTGGCACAGTAAGCCCTAACTTATGAACATTAAGTTGCCAGTTTTCACAGGTGTACTATATAGGACTTTCTGTCGGCTTACAAACAAATCCGATAATGACAATTCTCTCAGAACAGAACTGGTTAATAAGTTGAGAACATACTGTACTCGGAATCCAATTCAGGGGTACTCTACCACTGAGCTCTATCTCCCAACACTTATTTTTTGAGACAGGGTTTCCCTAAATTGCCCAGGCTGGCCTCCAACTTGCAATCCTCATGCCTCAGCCTCTTCAGTAGCTGGGATTACACGTGTGCTACTGTCTGTGGCTTGCTCACTTATTACTCATACCCTATTATAAGCACCATGAAAACCAGCATCTTTTGTTCAGTATTGTTATCACCAGTGGCTAAAATGGTGCTGGGCACAAAGTAGGTATTCAATAATTATATAATGAATACACAAACGCATAATTTCCAAAATCATTACACATTTCACAGTAAACTTTAGGTAAGCAAAGATACCATCATCTCAGATGACTCACCACTGGCCTGCAGAAAGCTTGCATTAAGCCACAGGCCATTCCAGATGCCCAACTCTGCCTTAGGTGTCTAAGACTAATTAGTATCCAGTGCTTCCCCTAGTATAGCCTTTCTTACATTGTGATTCAATTATCTATTTGTATCTCCTACTGAACTGTCTAATAAAAGAAATATCTCAACTGCTGGAATTTTTTAAGTTTCACTAATTTTTTAAACCAAAATGTTTTAGTTACTTTTCTCTAATTGCTGATACAAATTATCTGACACCCAAGGTTAAAGGGGGAAAGGTTTTTTAGCTCATTTTGTAGAGGTTTTAGTCCATAGGTGGCTGGCTCCAAGGCAGAGTGGCACATGGCAGAGGGGCTTCATGGAGGTCAGAAGGTAGCAAAAGCAACAAGGGATCTTCTGCCCACTTTATCTTATCCAGACTACTTAGGCCTGGTAGCACTCACACCATTAATCCTAGTGCCCTTGAGCCTAGCAATACCCCATTAATCAATTCCAGCATAACACCCTTTAGATCCAGCCACCTCCAAAAAAGGTCCTACTTATGACTGCATGAGGCTTTGGGAGGACATCTACACGCAGGCTGTAACACAAAGCATGGAAAAACTAACAAGTAATTGAGACTCGGTAATCTGGAGGTCATATTTCACAAAGAGGAATGCTGTGGGCTTTGTGGCAACAGGTCTTATACTGGCTTACGAGTCACTTCGAGGTCTCCAGAAAAATAGCAGAGGTCCCAGGACGGTCCATTTGGAAGGTCCAGTCCCAACTCCTAAATCAGAACGACCCCAGAATGACTCTGATATAAACCCTCAATTCTGCTTGCTAATCAGACTCCTAACATCTCCCAACAGGGACCCATTATAGTGACATTGCCCTCAGTGTAAATAGTACTTGCAGTCACTGCCTCTATCACCACTACCATTACAGGTAGGTCCTGAGCCTTCAGGAAACAACAGTGCATCCACTTCCAATTATCTGTTAAAACATGGATGGATTATTATAAAGTTTTAGGAGTACACAGATATGCTTCACCTGATGAAATTAAAAAGGCTTATCATAAAGTAGCACTTAAACGGCACCCTGACAAAAATCCACAAAATAAAGCAAAAGAAAATTCAGATAAGTGGCTGAGGCATATGATGAAAAAGCGAGGCATTTATGATAAATATGGCAAGAAAAGATTAAATGGCGGAGGTGGAAGTGATTTTGATGACGAATGTGATTATGGTTCCACATTCTGTAAGCCAGATGATGTCTTTATTTAAGAAATGTCTGGTGAAAAGTACACACTTTCATTTCACTTCTTTGGAGGCTCCCTTGAAGATCTTTTAAAAAGATGCTTGTGTGGAAGCAGAAACAGAAGCAGAGGTACAGGATCCTTTTATTCCTCTTCCAGTGAACATTTTTTGAGACATTTTCTTCATCTGATATGGGATATACGTCTCATGGTTTACTAGGGCATAAGGGTCTTACTTCATTTTCTTCCTTGGCATTTGATGATAGTGGGATGGGAAACCACTTTTATGTTACAACTTCAGGCAAGATTGTTAATGGCAGTAATATTAATTCAAACAAAAATAATGACAGTGATCAAAAAAGAAGCTGGAGATGATCTCAAGTTGAAATTCCTCTTTGTGTATGATGTGGGAGACAAAGAGGAATTTGCAGAAGAATGCAGCTGGAGAAAACAATCATTCAACATTTACCAAATTCCCACAGCCCCAAGAATGTGTTTCAGCATACTTCAATGGACAATGAAGAGCAAGCTACACCCTGGGTCTCTAGTACCTGGGATCCCTGTATTTTCTCAGCAGGATTCAAAGAAGCTGTAAAAGCGGGGTGGGGTGGGGGGGGGAGAAACACAAAGAGGCACAGAAGAAGTCAGCCAAAAGGAATCACTAAAATGAATCTTCAGACATATTTTGCTCATGACCATGTGTCTTGGTTAATAACAGTTTTATAGATAACATTTGCTTAATGCTCTCTAAGGGTCTGTTTTTAACATTTTAAGCAGGTTTGTGGACATTTGATTAGTACTTGTTTGGATTAGGAATGTCAGAAAAAGATGAGTTTGTGATAACAACTGGTAATATTAAGATTGGAAAACTGCAATTTTTTAATCTTGTTTACCTGTCTGAATATAGAATTTGTTTTTAATAGAGTTTATGACCCATTTAATTCCTTTCACCTAATTAAAATCGCTATACAAACTTTTGAAATGCATTGAGAGAAAATTGTACTAGGATAGATTCAGACTATAAAATTATTCAGGAGATGACTCCCCGATGGAAGCAAAATATTTGATATATAACATAAAGACATACAAATATTTTAAATTAAAAATATCTGGAGAGGGCCAGGAATTTAGCTCAGTGGTTCTGCTGCCTGCCTTGTAAGCAGAAGGTCCTGAGTTCGATCCCAAGTACAAAAAAAAAAAAAAAGCCAGTGCAGTGTGGAGGGGATATGCAGTATTAAGAAAATCCTGTTATGTTAAAACATGGATGAACCTTCAGGATATTTGACAATTCAACTAAATGAGGTATCTAAAGTCAAATTCTTAAGAGACAGGGCTGGGGATTTAGCTCAGTGGCAGGGTGCCTGCCTTGAAAGTTCAAGGTCCTGAGTTTGATCTCCAGTACCAGGAAAAACAACAAAAAAAAAAATCATAGAAACAGTAGAATGGTGATCACCAGAGATTGGAAGAGGGAGATAGTTATTTTTAGATATGAAGCTTCAGATTTCCAAAACAAAAATGTCCTCGAGATGTTTCACAACAATGTGAATATACTTAATACTACTGAACTATATGTTTAAAATGGCTAATATAGTAAATTTTATGTAATGTGTATTTTACCACAATTTATTTCAAGTGAGTATTAACCAAGATTTGTCAAAGCAATCTGCCAGTCTGTCTTTTGTTTTGGTTTTTTGAGAAAGGTTCTTGCCTCAAATTCATGGTAATCCTCCTGCTTCAGCTTCCCAAGTGCAGGGATAACAGGCAAACCCTGTACAGGTACACCTGGCATAATATCTACTATTTTTAAATGACTGCCATAGTAAAGTCTGCCCCTTTGTTTCGTATTATTTATTTTATAAGGGGTATATATGCGGGGAGGAAAGTCAATTTTTTTTTTTTTTTGTGCCAGGATGGAACTCAAGACCTTGTGCTTGCGAGGCAGGTGTGGTACCACTGAGGTAAACCTCTGGCCCTGGACAGTTAATTTATTATAGGGAAAGTCTGGGCACAATTAGCATCTAAAATTTGTTTTCAGGAATTAAAATCATAAAAGCTTAGGGTATTTTAAGTCCTACTTACATAACCATCTAGTCCATTTCTCCATTTTTAACAGAACTAAAAATTCAAATTTAATCATTTTATGCAACACTTAAAATTCTTCAATTAGTCTCCCATTGCTTAGAAAAAGAAGTTCATTATTTCTTAACATATTCTACAAGGCCCTCCATGAGTGAACCACTAGGTTTTCACCCCCAACTGATTTTCTATCACCTCTTTGTACTATGCTACAGCCCAAGTGTTTCCAAAATGTGTTCCAGGGTTATTAGTTTAAGATTCACCACAGAAAAGGGGCTCCACAGTCAATTTCTTTATGCACATTACTGCCAAATACATCTCCCTGTCTTGCAGTGTAAATATTTGAACATAGTCATTGTGGTGTAACACCTATTAATATGCCCAGGAATGTATTTCAAAAAAGTTTCTCCAATTACACCACATGATTGCAATGCTTAGTACAGACCACTGCTTCAGAGCTCTGTGCTCTGCTTGTTCTACCACAATGGCTCCTTTCTTCTAGTTAGCATTTTTTCCCTTCCTTCCTTCCTTTTGCTTTTTTAGACAGGGTATCCCTAGGTAGCCCAAGCTGGCCTTGAACTCACAGCTATCCTCCTACCTCAGCCTCTTGAATGCTGGGATTACAGGTGTGCACCACACACTGGGCTTCTAGTTAGCTTTTCAAATCTCAGATCAAATTAACAGTATTCCTAATCTTTAAGAAGCCTACATTTCCTTTCTGCTTCTTTCTGTTCCAAAATATGCCTATTACTTCCCTCTTTTCCATACCACTGGTCCTTTATTCATATTTAATACATCACAATAACTTGCCTTATATAACTCCCATGAATTAGAAATTCTACATTAATGTGCATATTTGGTGCATAATGTCTTGTTTGGCTTGGTTTTGTTTTGTTTTTTGAGACAGGGTCTCACTATGTAGTTGAGACTGACCTGGAACTCACGTAGCCCAGGCTGGTCTCGAACTTACAGCGATACTCCTGCTTCAGGCTCCTGAGTGCTGGGATTACAGGCATGTGCCACCACGCCCAGCTTGGTTTTGGTTTTTTGAGATGGAATCTTGCTATGTAGTTCAAGGTAGCCTTTAACTCAATCAATCCTCCTCCCTCACCCTCCCAGCAGTGCTGGGATTACAGGCATGCACCACCACACCTGGCTGGTGGACAATGTTTTGTGAAATTAGTTAACTGAGAATAGGTTTTGAAAAGTATCCTCTACTGGGCTGGGGATTTAGCTCAGGGGCGTTGTGCCAGCCTCCAAGCGCAAGGTCCTTAGTTCAATCCCTGGTACCCCCCCTCCAAATTCTCTACTTATTCTTTAATTTCTTTAGTATTTCCCTTTCAAATATCAGATTAATATCTTGAATGATTTATTTTTTAAAAATACAACTTATTTACGCATCACTAATGCTTTATTTTGCTTGTTCTCAGATGACTAGATAAATAACATGCTCCTCCTACTAAAAAATATAT